CAGTTTACTGTAATAGTGGAGGAAGGAAACCAGCAAATATTCCCATTTAAGAAGCTGGAATCATTTAATGTTTCTCAAAAAAAAAAACTATTAAAACACTTGAGGATTAATATAGTAGTTAACAACTGTGCGATTAATCGATTAATCATTGCAGCTCTGACACAGCACATTTACTGCCAGAATATTCCTCCATTCGTGTTCACTGTCACTTTCTGACGCTCGGACAATCAAACACTCGCTATGCACTTCTCGGCGTTACGTTGTTGTTATAAACGCACCTGTCACATAGATGTTCAGTGAAGAATGAGGAGAAGAAGCGAGCCAAGGGATGAGTTTTACCGTGCTTGCATAGTGTGCGAGTGACAATTAGTAACGCATTGATATAAAAATGATTCTTTAATGTCTTTGTACCCGAATGCTGTTTGTTTATGTTTATAATGGTCATGTGATTCCTTAGTAGCAGAAGGTTGGATTTGAAGAGGAATGGTTTGTTAGCTGTTTTTGTGTTTCTGTACTTTGTTTTATGTGCACTGCCTTGGTTCATCATCTAAGGGTGCAGATGGCTGGGGTGGGATGGGGGGAGGGAAATGAGGGACTTTAGGGGAGGAGGGGGAATAAAGAAACTGTTGTACTATATTTGGCATTGTTTGCCCTGTGTCATTCTGTGACTGTGATGGTACTTCTCTTTTCCCTATATAAACAATCAATAGTTGATTATGTAAAAAAAAAAAAAAGAGAGAGAAATGTCTTTTGTTTTCTAGGAGAAAGCAGCAGAATTACTCAGGGTGTACCGGAGCAGTGAATTTGCAAGCCGCTCCATCCTGTCATTTCAAGAGCTCTGTACTCTTTCTTCTGATGTCTGTGCTGATGAGAGCACCCTGTGCATGGCTCTCCTGCAGCTGCAGAGGGACAAGCAAGTGATTGTGTCATTGCACGAGGGCGAGAAGGTAAAGTGTAACCGACCGCTCCACAAACCGTTCATTCCGTCAGTAGAGGTAGTTTTTTAGAAGTCATCTATCAGGACAAGGCCTGTTGAGAGAGAGTTTATCCTGCGACTACTGGAGTAATGCTTTATGTTTCATCTGTCTTTATGTGTCTTTCTTACAGATTGTTAAGTTTTGTCAGCCTGGGCAGGATCGTGTTTCCCCTGTCAGTGATGTGGATATAGGCATCTACCAGCTGCAGCGCAGTGAGAAGCTGTTGGGAGAGCGAGTGGAGAAACTGGGCTTTGAGGCGGTCAAGTAAATCAACTTAAATATGAACTTTAAAGTAGAATTAGTATTGATAGAGAATGTGTATAATTGAACTAAAATAGTCCTGTTGGTATTTGTAAGCAAGAAAACCCATTTGGACAAAAATAATGTATGTAATTTAGTCAGGATTGACTTGTTCCAGTTGTGAAATCACCAGTATGATGTGTGCAACTTGATGCTTTGGCTATCTTTTTCTTTTAACTTCATTGCATTCAAATGGTTCTGAAAGTCAGACTTTCTTTCAGGTGCAGAGAGGAAGCAAAGCTGCTGCTCCGGGAAGGGAAGAAATCCCAGGTACTAATAACAGTCAACTGCAAAAACACATCTTATTGTGCTTAACCGAATATCTTGGTTCGGTTCAGTTCAGTATTGGCCGTCTATCCCAACAGGCACTCAGGTGTTTAAGAGGCCGCAAAAGGGTAGAAAAGAGAGCAGACAATTTATTCGCCAAACTGGAGTCCATCAGAGGAATCCTGGACAGAATAACCCAATCACAGTCTGATAAGATGGTGAGAAGCAGAATATGCATCAGTTGTCTGTAACCAAGTGTGTTGTCGGTATTTTAAGTTTGTGCTGAACACGTTTGTAGGTTATGCAAGCATATCAGGCTGGCGTGGCAGCCCTGAGACTCTCGCTAAAGGATGTGACTGTGGAACGTGCTGAGAACCTCGTGGATCAAATCCAGGAGGTAGCTCTATATTTTAAGACAATGATCTGGGTATTGTATTATTTATTTAAATATAAATATTCCTAAGCATCTTAATGTATCTTTTCTGTTATTTAACCAGTTATGTGACACTCAAGATGAGGTGAACCAAACCATATCCAGCGGCGTGACCGGCGCAGGTATGCCATACTGTTAGTGCCATGTCTTTTAATATATTGTGTATATATGAATATCAAAGAGATTTAAGTTACTGCCATTTTTTTGTAGATGAAGACATGGATGAGTTGGAGGAAGAACTGAAATCTTTGTTGGACGAGACGAAGCCGGATTCAGTGTCAGGTTTACCTGAAGTTCCAACGAACGGTCTGCGGCCCTCTGGGGAGCCGAGCCTCCCAGGTGACGACCTGCTCAGCTCTCTGCCTGCTGTACCTTACACCCACTTGGATATAACCTCTGAGCAGCTGGAGGAGGAATTGAATCAGTTAACCCTTACAGATTCAGGTTTGCGCTTTCAGACTTCTCCATTTTTTTTCCTCTGTTGGACTGTAATATAAATGTTTTGAGTCAACATATGGTCGCCTCTCTGTCCAGGCTTTCAACAGAAGAAAATTACATCGCCAGCCAAGGGATTAGAGCCTGCTCAGTGATGACGCAAGCAAGACATGGCAAGTTTAAGCAACATATATCAAGCTGTATCTCTTGACATTTTTCTGTGAGCCAGAGTTCATAGAAGTTAATAAAGCACTAAGGAACTAAATTAGCAATTGCTAAATCTTAAAAAATCAAAAACAAGGCACTTTCCTTCATTTAATGAAAATAAAGACTTTTACTGTGGAGGTATACCAAAAAATAATACAAAAAATATTGTTTCCTTTTTGTAAGTTAACACCCTTTTCAACTTGAAAACTTTTAGATCAGTTCTGCCGTCCGGATCTGAAGGATCTCAAGTCAAATATGAACATTTGAACAGTTTAAAATATGCTCTTTGGTATGCCACCATTAGGAATGCTTTTAATTTTGTGGTATTTTTGACAGTGAGAGGAGAACAATATTCGTGGTTTATCGCATGTTTGATGTTTGTAAATATCCTTCATTGGCAGTCCTGTGAAGTGTATTAAGTGGCCTTTTGAAAAAAAGTACAGAGAATATTATGCCAAATGATTTATTATAACTGAGTATATTTAGTCTCATTACAACATACCTGTGAGAACTTTGAAACCTACATTTAAATGAGTTTAGCCGAATATGTTTCTCAAAATAAAATTTATTTTAACGACTTGTCTTTAGTTGTATTTGTATGTCAGCGTCAGCCACTGTGTTCGAAGCAGCTGAGGAGAAACTACACTCTCCTCTGTCTTTACAATATTTGTGTGTGAATGAATCCCATGAAACTTGTTCCACTCAGTAGTTACAGTTTGTTTGCACACTTACCTGAGATTATTTTACTCTTCGTTTATTACAATGGCGGCACCAGACCTCAAAGGTTTGGGGCAAAATCAGGCAGACTTGTGGGCCAATGAAATCTCCAACCTCTCCAAGGAGAGTCACATAGAGGCTGCAGGCAGTAATGCTTATGGAAAAAAAGGACAAACATGATTTTAATCCTAATAAGCAAGCTGCGCCAAGCAAATGTGACTTGGTGTTTTGAGTCTCCTGGCATTATGATACAGTACATGTGCATATTAAACCTCTAGAGACACACACACCTTTTTATATCTGTAGTATATCTGATAAAAATGACTTGGAAAAATAAAGCAGTACCAATTCATGTTTTACTTTAGCATGTGCAGTGCTTTGGCCACTAGGGGTCGCTGTCACCCGCTCAATCAGATAATTACTCTGCTTGCAATTAAATAGAGAGAAAGTAGCTTTACTGATTGCTTCAAGTACAGGCTCTTTATGTGTTTTAGCCGGTGAAGACTGGTTCCACCTGTAATAAAGGCAATTTGGTAAAAGAAACAGCTTTACTACTGAATCGTGCCGATGTTTGGGCACAATATCTTTGACTTAGACTAGTGATTTGTCCAAAATTACCCCAAAATGAGTCGTTCAAACAAGTATCACACATAAATGCGTATATTCGCTCTATGTGTATAGAGTCACTGAAAACGAGGAGACTTATTATAAATTACTTAAGTTAATTCTGTCATTGGGAGAAATGTAAATGGATTTGAACAAATGCCAGATTCATGTAAAAGACAATATATTGCAGACCTCTGAATATTTTAATTAAAATGTGCTTTGGAATGATGACGATAAGAAATTCTGATTTATTGATGCCAAACCCAACCAGGGATAAGTTATCATCTGCCTTATTTCAAGACTTTCAGTGTGTTAGAATGAAATGCCTTTTTTCTTTAAACCTTTTTAGTGCCACTTAAACAATTATTAAATTTGTATATATCTACATAATTCACAGAAATCCTGGTTTCAGTTGGCCCAAGGAGACGCCTTGATCTATGGGCAGCCTTTAGTTTACATGGTTATATGTGTTCTAGTGTTGGTATTGATATTTATCACTCAACTTCTATTGTGATTCAAGGTGGACACCCAGCGGCCAAGTTGTTGAATTACATACACGTTTGTAAACGGGCACACTGCTTTTCTGATGAGACTCATTGTCCTCGTCAGCAGACTCTTCAGAGTCAGTGTGACATTTAGTTGTTATTGCTGACACTGTGATGTAATTTGATACTGAATAGTTGTTGGTGCAGACAGATAATCCTTAACGCACTTTAGCCAAACAGTTCAGTGATCACGCAATTTGGCTTTCCCATATGTTACCGTTCCTATTACAACCTGGTATCAATAACTACTTACACTATTAGTTACAGGGCACAGGGAGACAATGAATGGTTTTCTGAGTCTGAACATGATGTGCCTTTGCAATCACTTCACATCATGGGAGATTTTGAACAAAAAATGAGGGAGTATCTTTTGGAAGAATGGTGTTCATCTCTCCAGTACACTTCCAGAGGCTCAAATCAACGCCAGGACTGAAGTTTTTGTGGAGCCTAGTAATGGCCCAACACCTTACTAATTTGTCACGCATCTGTACAAACAGAAGCCACATAACCAAACCAAAAGAGCATTGCTTTATTGTTCTGATTTATACATATACTTCAAGGACAAGAGATATTAATGTGAAAAGCAGGTTATTAAGTGATTATAATTACCGTCATGTTGGTGGTGCAGTGGCTACCGTCATTATCTGAGGTGCTTTTGTGTTCTCTATTAAAACAATAAATTAAAAAATAATTCATTACAAATGTACAGCCTTTATAAAGTACAGTTAGTAATATCACAAAATCCTATTACAGCAGTGTTTTCAAAAATGCCCTTGTATCACAAATAACATCAATGGATATTGTTTAAGCCAAAACTTAATTTTCTCCCAGGCCTTCATTCTCTCTCTCTCTCTCTCTCTCTCTCTCTCTCGCACACAAATATACGCCCTGATCACCATCATTTCATACTGCATTTGCACATGTGCACCGCTGCTGTTTTTGCAGCAAATTCCAACTGCACACTATGCAGCTCACACCTATAGTAACGTTATTATACTGATATAGAAGAAGATGAAAGACATTTGGGGAGTATTAGTTTAATAATTTCAGTTCTACCCTATGCAGCTGCAGACATCGTATTATATAGTTTGTTGATATGTCCAGACTATTGTTGAGAAGATGGAGCAAACAGAGATATGTAAAGGTAACTATTAGCCATGACTACACAGCGTTGTGTATGGTTGAACCAGTAAAGCAGGCACTGATGCAGATATTTGGCTGAGACTTTGTTGTACGCACCACATGAGACAGAATGAAGTGAAAGTCTAAGCAAAAAGTCAACATGTGTATAATACAAGATCTCATTGGGTCTTAAATAAGAAACATTTTGGCATGCTTTATATTAGTCCTTTTCCAATGTATATTAAGAAAAACAAAAGTCTTTGTGGAATACCATGAACAAAATGATCTTTTTTTTTCATATTGCAGTGTTGCGTAGAAAGCAGGCTACACAGTGGGTCAGGCTTCTTCCGGCTCTTGCAGTGTAGTGTGTATACAGTAGATGTGCGTTTCTGTGCATGTTAGCATTGCAGTGTTAAACTGTCCTGTCTGCTCCGGTGCGCTTCCGCACAACCTTCTCCTCGTTGACCTGGTCCACTGCCAGTGTCTCCAGCTCTGCTTGCGGTGGGGCCAAGGGAGGGGTGCAATGTGGGATGCGGTGCGCCACACCCACATGAGCCCTGTACTGACGGTCCCGAGCGGGGCTGTGACGAGGGCTGGCCATGGCACCCAGGGGCCCGATAGGGGAGCGCTCGGAGGCAATAGGAGGGATAACGGCAGGCCGTTCTCGCACTACCTGTGGTTCAGGAGAGTCTCTCCCAGCCTGCAAGAAGGGTGTGGGGTCAGGCATGGCGTCTACAGTCTCCCGCAGAACCAGGCGTCTACCGTCCGGGCCGAGCCGATACACCTCTGTCAACTCTGGGTGAAGAGGCTGGGAGAGACTCTTCTTCATGCGGCGCCGTGGGGTTTCAGGCTGCCTGTCCTTGGCCGGGGGAGGCGTGGGTTTGTATGAGGTGACTGGGCTGACGTTGGGGCTGGCCTCAGATGAACTGCCGGCTAACAGCTTCTTCTTGGTGGCGTGAAGCTGTGAGGTAAGGTACGCAATAGTGCTTGCTCTCTGCTCCAACTCCCCGGACAAAACAGCCAGTTTGTGGCTCTTCATCTTGAGCTCCTCCAGGTACTTCTTCTCCCTCTCCTTTATGGTGTTTTCAAGGACAGAGATCATGGCGTTCTTCTGCTCAAGGTCCCTGAGCAGCTCTGTGTTCTCCTCCTCCTTCTTCTTCAGCTGGGCCTCCAGCTCCTCACACCTCCTTTGCAGCTCCTTGCATCGCACCTCACTGCTGTCTGCACACACAATAAAAAACAGTTAAAACAGCAGCACAGATGCACACGTCAGAGTAAAAAGCAATCATAAGCAGAGATAAATAATTGCACACCCAGAGACACATAAAAAATCTCCAGACTGAACCAAACATAAATGGAGACAATGACTGGACAGTCTGTGAGCTGACAGAGACAGGATGATCCTATGGAGACTCATCTGCAGTGGGCAGAGAGCGCCAGTCTCACATTACAGCTCTGGTAGACAGCAATGGAGCTGCTCTCCTCTGACCTTCTTTACTGCTGCCCCCACCCTGCCCTGCCCCACCCAGTTACAGCCTATGCAGTCATGTTTGTGCATGTGCAAAAACAGTGGAATAAAATAGATTTATATGTATTGTGTATATAAATGTGTATCCCAAAGTTTCCATGTCTAGTTTAAATTTACATGTACTAAACACAGTCTCCTATTAAACAACGGGATGGTTAGAAAGGTGACAGCATTGGTAAATGTTCACCCACAGCTGATGCACCCGAGTCTGGCTGGACTAAGCAGGTTGCAGGCTGTGCATTAGCGCTGCAACAGATAATCTCATTTCCTGCACTCCAATCTCTGAGATGTCCCACACTAACAACCACAACATGATAGTGCCTCTAACTGGAGGCCGTAATAGTATTGCTCCAATCTGGGACAGCCATGTTAAAAGACCTACAACATATTGTGATCCTGGTGAGATGCAACATGCCTCCTGCTCGCTCAGTGAAACACATCTGTGTTGTAGCCTGTAAATAAATTAAACTGTATGCAACCTCCCAGGGGCCTCTGACTGTACAGTGCTGTACTTCAAGCCAGCGGAGCTGGGTCTGAATCAGACCAGTGTTGTGGCTCCATGTCTCGGCCATGGTAACGCAGGGGGAGGGGCAGTTGGCAATGAGCAGTGGGAGCTATAATGAACAGTAGGGAGTCCCACAATGCAATGCTTCCTGGGTGGGACTTTGTTACCAGGAAACCGGCAGAGCCCTCTGCTCTCGGGCCTGTGCACTGACACGGATTTATAGCCTTGACTGCTGTAGAGTTTTTTCTGCTGCTGTGCACTTTCATAATTTAAATCACTGAAAAAATAAAACTGTACTCTGAGATGTTACTAAACATTACATGTAGTATCTGAGGCAAGTCAATCTAACAGCATATTTAACTTCTCTTGTGAGAATAGTACTTTAACTAACGTCATAGAACACTAATGCAAGCTAACACCATAGACAATCACAGCTGGGAATGTTGACAGCAATTTTATTCGGCAACAAATTAATATTGATGGTAACTAATGACACTAGACATTGAATGTCATTAGTAAAACTGCATGTGTACTAAACAGTACGATGGAGGCTTACCTGAGGGATCAGAGCTTCTCACTGTGAGCTCATATGTCAGGTCTGTGAAAAAAAGGAGAGGGTTACTTATATACTTGCGTCACATTAGGTTGCAAACAGGCAGCTATCAAACAGCATGCACCTCACACAGACTAACTAGCAGCAGTGCATGTTTCAGGGAAACATGTCAGTGCTTTCCATATGGTGGAGTATTCATTTAACAAGATAAGTGAGAGTCCCACGTTAGCCAAGGATACGGGAAGTCAGAGCCAAAACATGCAGCGTCTCCTGGGTTATATCCTGCCTTTGTGGAAGAGTATTCCACAAAGGCAGTATCTATTACTGGTGGTATGCTCAATAAAGGTTTTGCTGTGTTGCATTGCTACAGTGCAGGGTGTACTCACTAATGCTTGAGTGCATTTCCCATAAGTCATCATATTCTCTCTAAAAGGTTTAATAGTGGCACCACAGCATCTTGTTTGTATTTAGCTGCAAATATCCACTAGGGTGTCCAGCTGTCCCCGTTATGGAATCAAGGGTAATGGGATAATTATTTGACACGTAGGTTTGTTTTACTGTTTTCATCATGAGATACCCTCAAAGACGTTCTTTAATGTGCTGTTTTTACCCAGCTGAGAAGAGAGGTGGCTACTTGTGGCCGTGCTCACCTGTGCATTGCTGTTGTAATCTGCGGATCTCTGCATGTAGCCCCTTCAACGTGTTGGCATGGTCCTGCTGGAGGAAGAGCAGGTTTTTCTGTGCGCTGTGCAGCTGATTTTCCAGTGTAACATTTGCTGATGCCATGGCTGATTAGTTTCAGACACACACCAGCCTTGCAACCTCCAGACAGACAGAAGACAGAAAACAAGGACAGGCGGAGAAAAAAAGAGAGAGAAGGACAAGACGATAAACAAGAATCAACCCATCTGGCAAACAGGACGTTAATTCTCACCCTTTCACCCATAAACATCTGGGTTTTGGGATGTGCTCCAGCTTTGCTCTGTCTGCCAACTGGCCAAGACAATCCGGATAATACCATCAAATCCATTCGCAATGGAGGCCATTTGGCAACATACCGAGCAAGTGTAAAAATTGTAACCCTGTGTTTTGATAAAAAGAGCAGCGAACATGCTGAAGATGCACATATATTAATATGCATTAATAAGGCTAGGTCAATGCTATGGTGTGACTGTAGAAGAGAAAGGCTAAGCGACCATAAATAGACAAATAGGCTAATTAGAAAGCAATCACTGAAATGAAGCTAATGATTGAGAACCTGAGAGTGAGCAGAGTAGGGCCTTCAAATCTCAGACATCTGAAAGGAAACACTAATCTAATATGCACTAATCTAAAAGGCTACACTGTATATTGTAATTTAATTAGGGCATACAGTGGAAATACTCTTCCTCAGCACGGACGATAAGTAAAGAAAATAAATGTCAGTCCTTACATTGGATTTAATGTGGCAGCCTAAAAAAATTAGATCATGCATCTGGTACATATCCCGTAGCACTGCAAATCTCTTAATGCAATAAAATATTCTCTTTGACAAACAACAAAATCAAAGCTAAACACAATGGGGAGTGGCGTGAGGGCTTGCCTGTCTCAAACAGGACTCATCCTTCCCTGCCTTGCCCCACCTTCCTCCTCCCTCCCTTCATTGGATGTCCTTGTCTCCAGAGCCAAGCCAGAGAGAGAGAGAAACAATCATTCAGCCCCAACATCTCCACCCTCTGCCAGACAACTGTACTGGGCTGAGAGTTGAGAGCACATTGATCCCTGCGACAACCCTCCTGAGTGCAGAGAAAGCCTCTCCCTGCATACATAAGTGTACTTCAATAAAACATCCCAGAGCTTCTCACTCTTACATCATCAGCTCACTAACATGAATAATAAATCCCGTGACACCTCGCTGGCCACACTCCCCATTTCCAGCATTTGTCTGTGTGATTTTCTTTTCTTCATGGCTTACAGGGGAAAAGGAAACACATGTGATAACCAAAACACAGACTTATAATCACAAACAGAGCCAGTGGTGTGTCATAAAGGCTGAGGAGATAATCTATTATTGATGAGTAATGTGGAGTCCTTCTGGTAAACCCTGATCTGCAAGCATATCTTTCATCCCAGCTTTTTCCTAGAATAGCTTAGATAGCTTTCCATTTGGAAAGATATGACCTCAGCCAACTTCAAAGCACGGCTCATGCCATAGCATGGAGGTGACCGTGGTACAAAGGAGTACAGAACTTCAGTGAATTCAAGCGAGATAATAAAGTTTATTGCTCTTTGTTAAGAGACGATGTGGGGGTGAATGTAAATCTATCAGTAATTATGTTATGTTAGATGTTAGTGTGAAGTGTCTGTCCACTGTTGTTTTTTTCCCCTGATGCACAAACAAGCATTTCCCCATACAGAGAACATAAATAATCAATGAACTGCAGCACCATGAAACATTAGCTAGCAGCTACCACAACAAGAGCTTAGCTGGTCTTCCTCTTGTGAAGCTGTGTCTTTTCACACAGATGACCATACTTCATTTTAGGTTTTGACAATGTGGACTATTGTTATTTTTTATTTTTTTTTGTGATAATCAACCTACTCCTTGCACACACTTAAGATTTAGGAACCTTCAACATCTAATGGCTATCAACACTAAGAATAACAACAAAAAAGGCAAACAGATAAACAACTAAAGGTTTACCAGCATTAAACCACTGGCTACAGTTTAAACAGGACACACGCTACGTGTTAGGGACGTCTGATACTTTCCACGGCACTTTCAATTTCAGCACCTGCATTGCGGACAGCACCACCAACCCACGTTTCACATTAAACCTCTGCTGGTCCTGGGCAGTGGCTGCCAGAAGATCATTACTTCACACAGACGTTATTGTTAAGCTTTAGATATCATTCAGGACACGATCTTCTTTATCATTATCAAAGAAAACGGCAGTGGTCAGTCGTAAACCACACAACGACGGGTGCCTGTAAACGACTTCCAAACATTTCACTTTCCTTGTTGTTTTATGACCTGATGCACTGTAGGATGCCATCGCTGCATTTCGTAAGATCATCACAAAGGCTGCCCTTGCAGTTACTGTTATGTCCTGCTGCTGTCCAGGGAGGAGCTGTCCAGTTTCAGGAACCGCAAACAAGCTAGCCCCCCTGATACGTGCGATTCTCTACTGAGTGGAGGTAACGTCACACCAAACTCCATTTACAATACGCCACCTTGATAACAGCCTGCTATACACAAAAAGAAAATGTACCAATCTTAGAATATAAACAATGTTTTTGCCATTGGGGAGGTGTTCTGAAGAAATCGGCATACGCTGAATCCACCACACAGGGTTTGATTTTAATAAAAGTCCAGGGTTTAGCCACATTGGGCACATAACGCAGTTAGCAGCTGCCACCGTTCAATCTTTTTCATTTCTGATGAACAGTTCAGCCAAACCCGTTTTAAGGTTATAATGAAGTCAACCTGCTTGGGTTATATACCGAATTGGAAAACGCTAGTTAAAACACTAAATATAAGCTGTATTGCGTTTGCAGACAAAGACGTGAAAATTTCGGGAATATTAAAATGCCTTTGAATGAAACAGTCTCTCTTAACGTTACGCATGAGCCTTTACTTACGCTAGCCTAGCCGAACAGCTAACGAGGCTACATTATCTAGTGAACAGCTTACCTTATGGCTAAAAATACGCAGCTGTCGAGTATCTTGTAAAAGGGTGTAAATGGTCGTGGAGCAGGCAAGCCGCACCGGCTAAGACAGCTCTGTCTTGCGGGGCATGTCGGTGATGCTGTCCGGGGCTCGCCTTGGTCGGGTGAGAGGGGAGGGTGGCTCTGACAGTTTTTCTATCATCTCCCTGAGCTACTAGACAAAATAAAGCGATGCATCACGGGAAGCCAGAGGAAATTAGCTAAATATCTCGTCTAAATTCGTTCAATCACGGGTGTTTCTCCTCGTGTCATTCAACAATAGCGATTCTAATTACAACTTGAATTTAAAAAAAGCACATCACATGCCGCAAATACAGGTTTTACTCACCTTAAATGACTGTTGAGGGACGTGCTACAGTTTTATAGTCACCAGCGTCTTCACCATAGCAACAGTATATGTCACCTGTTCAACGCAGGTGCATTCATGCCACCTAGTGACCGCGCCGGATTATAACCATTACTGCAGTAAAACAGATGTCTGATCATTTCTGAACGCTTTAAACGCTGTGTTTTGGAGTCAGGTTTAATGTGCATCAATGTGCCAAACCGCCGTGGTGGAGTAAATAAATGAAAATAGATGAAAGCCGCTGGTCAGAGTACAGATGGTGGACAGCAGAGGGGAGTGTTGCCCTTCAGTGGCAGATTTGTGATACTACAACAGCATACTGTGATCACTAATTCACATGCTACTATTTCTTTTGAAAACCTCGCACAGGGAGTCATAATTAATTAATAATCTTCATAATATCCATGAATTTATGCATAAGCTATTATAAATGTCAAACTTTGTATTTTCTAGTGGTATCGTGTCATTTGAGATGATTGGAGAAAATTTATAATTGTTATCATCAAACAAGTAGACATTCAGCAACAAATGCAAACAATTTCTGTAACACAATAGCAGTACAATGTGCAGTTTGCCAATTAAGCCCTCTTGCCAACACATATGTTTGTGGGAATTGTTGTCATGTATTGGATTAGGGAGGTCATGTGTCTAGTAAAACAGGAAGTAACAGGAGAGATAGCAAGAAGGCAGGTGGTTGTAACAGTGGTGATTAAATTCAGGATGCACTGATCTAATTCAGTACTAAGATGGTTAAACAACAATTGGGTCTCTGTAATAAATATTATAAAGAGTATGGTCTAAACCTGCTCTATATGAAAGTGTCCTGAGATAACTCTGTTGTGATTTGGATCTATATAAATACAATTTTATTTAATTGGATGTTTGACTCCTTGGGCATTAGTTGTAGTGCTGCAGTGTGGGGTTACAAGAGTTACTACAGCTGTTTTTAACCATGCACATAGATATTATGTTAGATGCCAGACTGCAAACAACTGTTTGTATTGGTTTTCTCAGCTGTCAAATGTCAAAAAATCTATGTATCATGCAAAATGGTTTGACAAGTCACTGTCACAGAAGTGGCTGCAGTTAATGAATAAACCAGAGGGTAATAATCTAAAAGCCTTATCAAACAGAACCTTATGGCCAGCATATGTTGTCAGGATTACACTGTATTGTATGTTTGATGTTACTCCAGCAAGTGCAAGACTATTTATTTTTGCACAGTTTTGTGTGTGTGTGTGTGTGTGTGTGTGTGTGTGTGTGTGTGTGTGTGTGTGTGTGTGTGTGTGTGTGTGTGTGTGTGTGTGTGTGTGTGTAAGCGTCCTTTAGAGCTGTTTTCCTCAGCATCGTTTTGTTTTATTTATTGCATTATATGGATTGGACAATGAGTGACACATTAACAAAGTTTATTCTCTCGCCATAGTCTTTCTATACTCAAAGTATTCTAGTATCTGAATGGTCAGTGTATGTGTATGAGTATTACAGTATATGCATTTTGTTTGATTGGTTAAAATATTGTTATAATAAATTGTACTATTTACTGCTTCTCATGCCGTTTGCCAGAAGAATAATTTAAAACTTTATCTAATCTTAAGTGATATCAGCACACTTGACCTCTAGTCTGAGGTATGAATGGGAAACAGTAGCCTTTTCATACTGACCCATAATATCACTTTAAATTATTTCTGGCAAGAGAAATTCCTCTGTGACATAGCTACTGCGTAAAATGATACAAACCAAAAACAAAAGCATCATTTTTCATTCCCAACCTGAGAAATAGTCTCACTTAAAAAGAAAATATTTTGTGGAATAAAAGGAATTATTGTCCACCTCTAGAAATGTTATTCTTCAGAAGCAGCTTTTAATCTGTCCCTAGCTTTGGCATGTTTGTGATAGGGATTAAATTATTCTCATTTCTTTATTTTTAGTGTTTCTGGCACACTTCCCAGCTGCCTGCAGAAAGCAACCAGTTGAGAGGAAAAGGTAAGTTATCCTCGCCCCAGCAAAAGCGAGGTGAAAACTAATTCCCCAGCAGAGACCCCTACCTTTCCTTGTGATTTGTTTTACTTTCACACTGTTAGGGATCTCCATACATCATAACAGGTAGTAAAGTAGCTCAGTGAGAGAAATCAACCAAATAAAACAACCAGGATTGACTTTGGACTCCTCCTGTGACTCTAACCAGCTTACAGTCGTTGTTTTTTTGGCCTTTGCCTACGGCTGATCTGCTGCTGGGAAGGATCCAGCTGAGAAAAGTCCTTCATACAAGCTGACCAAAGCTTCTCTCAGGCTTCATAAATGTGTCTGTGATTTGTAGCCGAGTGCGTCTATAGATTGATATTCTGTTTTTTTATGAAGGAATTGAGGAAATACATTCTTTCAAACACAGCCATGCTCTTTAAAATGTTCCAAGTGATGCCATACAGACAGTGGCAAAGGTGCTGGACATCGGCCCAAAACATCATATGTTATACTGGAAAAGTAATAAGAGCGAACCATTAAGCTTTTCTTACAACTTCTGGGCATCAGTCACGCATCAGTGAGTGTCAAATAACTCATTTATTTCATTCTTTAATATGTCTCATTGGTATAGTTGCTGGACTGTGAACAGATAGTGCAGGTCCTTGTCTAATTCATGGAGTTACAAATGAAATCTAAGCATATGGCAGTCATTCTCAAATGGCACTGTTTTACTGCCCCTGCTCTGACATGCTGCCAATAGCAACACTTCTCAGGTTGTAATAGTTTTACAGTTATTATATTGAGGTTGGCAAGGCAAAATTCCTCTAAAACTCTGAAAACCTCATTTAATTTTCCAGGACTTTTTTTTTTATTTGTCTGTCCAAAGAAAGTCATAATCACTGGACTGTTGAACTGAATGTGTCATTTATGTGAAAAAGTCAAAGAAAGCCACTGACAGTTGTGATGGCATTAACTTATTTCAACTTTATGATAGTACATTTAATGCCGGGCCTACAGTCTCAGGATGTGAAATATGACTGGGCAACATTTTAACCTCAGCTGAATTTTGTTTTTAGATAATTTGCCAACAAGTCCTTAAAATCTGTAGACAGTACAAGCAGTGTGCACATGCTTGTGCTTGCTCATACTTACCATCATCACCCCTACAAGGGTACAGCCTTTCTCACAGGGCTGCTCATCATGTTTTAGCCAGATGTTGAGTCTATAACAGACATTTGAATCTTCTCTCTGTCAAATGGTAAATGGACCCAGAGACTTTTCTATTTTGATTTGCTATGCACTTGTGTGGCATGGAAAGTATTTGTCCTTTCAAGTCCTTACACAGTATCTACAGTATGAATACCAGAAGCACCTGGACTTTATACTGTATGGGACCACTTGGAAATAAAGGGAAATGTGAAATGAGCACTTAAAGCAAAGGTTTTTTCAACAGCAATCAGCCTCTCTGACACAGTTTGTACCTTCCAATTAATTCATGACAAATCTATGAGCTGACAAAACATAGGTGAACACAGAGAGGAAATTATAGCCAACATGTTACATAGGGCCCACATGGAAAGCCCTTCCATTGAATCGGTACGCTGTCACTGCCAAAATGTCTCTGCCTTTATTCTAGTAATGAGGGTGGACTGCAGGAAACCATGCTTTCTATGCAATTTTTTAAAAAGATTTTTTACAGTCCAGGGAGAGCAGTCCTCTCGGTGCCATTTAAAGTGACACTTTAATTACTAGTGGTTAATGGACCACTAACACCAAACTTTGAAGTGGCTGTAACTCAACGTGCCCGCACAGCCAGCCTCAGCAGGAAAAATGTGTGCCACGGTGTAATCCTTCCACACATACTGGTATAAGACACGCTGTGATAAGACACATAACTCAGTTGAAATGAGCTAATGAAATAAAAAACATGAGGGCTTGCAGGATAAATAAAAGGTAAGCAATCATGGGTATAATCTTTGAGTACATCTACAGGCTTTCTGAAAGGGCGTATAAGCCAACTAAAATAATAGCTTAGAGAATGCAGGGGAATTTCAAGTAACATGTGCATTAGTCAGATAACTCTAGTTTCATTTCAGAAGCTACAGATAAAAAATATCACTTTATGGTCTGGCCATGTGACAATGAAAAAAAAGAAGAATTTTCCTTATTTTTTGATTGATTTATGTCATTTAGGGACCATCTACCATATTGAACATCAATAAGACCATTGTATTGCACAATGACAGAGCAGCACTAATCAAAAAGTCATGCATGTCACTAAGAATCAGAAATATCAAAATCAAGGATATTTGTATAAATCACCTTAGAGACAATAGAGACAATTTCTAATTTGTCTATAATTAATATTCAGTATCACATTTATCATTTTACAACAAATAGGTCCATATTTTTATAGTGCAATTCTAGTCTTTCCGGCAACTCAAAGTGCTTTGCACAACATCACATTCACCCCATTCGCACACACTGATGAGCAATTTGAGGTTCAGCATCTTGTCCGAGGACACTTCGACATGCAGAGTGGGGAGACCAGGGATCGAATGACCGACCTTCTGATAAGTGGACAACCGCTCTAACCCCCTGAGCCACAGCCGCCCCAACACAGAGTTGTATAACAATATTAAGTTGGAATTATGGAATCTCATAGCCTGAGGGAAAAAGCTGCTCTGGAGTCTGGTGGTACAACAGATGATACTTCTCTATCTCTTGCCAGATGGCAGCAGGGTGAACAGGCTGTGTCTGGGTGGGTACTGTCTTTTAGGATCCTTTGGGCTCCGTGCAGGCACCTCACCTCACCGATATCACTAGATGGTATGATCACCCACTGTCCTCCTGTCCTGGGCCATGTACATCCCATGCCAGTTTGCAGTTTTTCCAGGTAGGATGCTTTCTTTGCTTCACTTTAAAAGTTAACAGGAATTTGGCACAGAAATATTGCTTTCTTGA